TTTTTTTTTCTAGGGATCCTCAAAGAGAATATTTAGAAAGCTACATGAGTTTACCAGGCTTGGGAAATACCTCATTTTTGTAAAAAAAAAAAAAAAAAAATATAGGCCAGGGCTGACAGAGAGCACACTTTGGCCTAGGGTTGTTTAAAACCCCCTGCCTGTACATCTGCATTAGCTCAAACAGGACTTCAGCTTTCGGCTGCCTGAAAGTTGATCCCCACCACGTTTGCTGCCCTGCCCCTCCTCCAGCAGATGCGATTTCACACTAAGCTTTCAGAGAATTAAAATGTAGAAGCTCAGCCAAACGGGCATCAGCATCTATCAGATAAAAAGTTTGAATAAAAGTTGCTTTAATTCGAATAAAATTGCCTTGTAGGGTCAGAACACACAAGTACTGACTACAGGGGGATACAAGCCAGTGCTGAGAAATGTCCCACTGACTACAAAAGCTGGCTTCTGCTATTAAATACACCTTTTCAGCTGTACTTTGAATCAAGACATTTTCTTCCTGTTCTGACAGGCAAATCTCAGGACAAAAAGAGGAACCTTAACTGAATTTTTTAAATGGAAATAATCATCACCCACTTGTATTTCCGTTGTTACATCAATGCTTGCAAGGGAGTGAGCAAGGCTGGGGAGCACTGATTTTCCTGGAATGTTTTATTATCCAACCTTCCTTTCTTTGCTTTGACCTATTTTCTATTTCTTCTGGTGCTGACAAATGAGAAGGACACCTCTATTTGACACTAGGAGGAATATATTTTGTTTCCCAAAATGATGCCTGTCATCAGCTAGCCTTGTCCTGCTGCAGCGATTCCGGATTGCTCCTGCAATAAGGATTGTCTCTCAAAAAAATTAGATACCACCAAAAAAGGGCAAATAAGCAAGCAAAAAAAAATATAAGGAAGTTCAAAATATATGCTAAGCTAATAAATGATGTGGCACATTAGTACAGTAGAGAGATTTGTAATCATCCATAAATCTATTGCCAAAACACAGCTATATATTGACAAGTGTAAGTACCCTCTTGTGTATTACTTAATATGTGGCTTTATTTTGATACAGGAGTACAGCCCCCTACATTCTAACAGGAAAACTTTGAAATGAAAAATATTTGTAAAACACTTAAAAATATGGGGTGAATTACTGCTGTGTTTTGTGTATGTAAAACATTTTTCATAAGTAGTTGTAATTGGCAGATGCAAAATAGTCTGTTGCTTATTATTCTAATTAACTCTATTTTTAAAATACCACCTAATCTCACTCTGCTCATTCTCTGTCAAGGAAATAGGTTTTCAGGTGAGCTGCATAAAAGCTAATACTGTAAAATGTCTTGTTTTAGGAAGAGGCCTAAAGAGTAATGGCTTTTAGGGTGTGACTGTAATTCCTGGTTATTTCCATGCATTTCTCCTGTCCTACCTTTTGGCATGGCCACAGCTCTGGGTACCTGTTTGTCTCTTTGCCATCCTTGATCTACCATGCTAATGGTTATGAGCTGTTGTAATTATTTTGAGAATTTAGCAGATTATTTTCTTGTAAGAAAGAGGAAAAACTGCAGAAGGGATATTCCAGAGGCACCTGGACCCAACCCTGTGCTCTGGGATGGCCCTGCTGGAGCAGGGAGGTGGCACCCATGACCCTCTGGGGTCCCTTCCAACCTTCCCTTTCCTGTGACTCTGGGATTCTGTCAGAAACCTCACACCAGTGAGGGTTCAGAAATTCCTTCAGCTCTGAAAGGGCAACATTTGTAGTCTTACAACAATATTTACATAATATTTAAATAAATATTTTCTAAAATAACCTATTCTTTCCCACCACCATTTCCACCACGTAAAACCATACTTGAATTCATTTTTTTCTTTTAATGAAGCATTTGCAGCACATTTCAAGTAAAAAAATCTTTTGTAGAGATGTTGTCAGACCCTTCAATAAATTCTGGAAACCCGAACAAAAGTGATTTTGACATTTGAAAGGTGAACAGCCTCCTGTATTGAAGATCTAAGACAAAATGTTCAGAGCTAATCTTCTGCATCTTCTTCTTGGCCTTTTCTTCAAAACTACCCCCTTACGAAGGGAGGTCTCTGTGGCTAGAACACAGTTCCACCTCAGGTGTGTTTGCTGATGGATATAAAACCAGCATGGGAAACTGCTCAAACTTGCTGAGGCTCATATGGTGTCCCTACAGTCATTCCCCCTTTCGGGATCTATTTGGGATTTCAACCACAAAGTGGTGCTGTTGCAAAAGCTAAACATTATGACACACACTCCCTGCTTCTAGAATGGCCCAAGGCATGCATTAAACCCAATAAAATTTTCATCTATTTGCATACCTACACGCATATCTTCCCTATAAATATTCAATTTTTCATCATCAAACGCAATCACAGTAGTATCTGTTAATGCATGGAGAAAAATACTTGTCTTCAAAGTGTAGAAAATATCACATGTTTTGAAGTCTGGTCAAGTGCCTAATTAATCAGATCAATGTCTAGTAATTATCCCAATTAAAACCACCAGAATTCAAAGATGATTTTCCACAGCATGCTCTGAGCAATATTTTAGATTCTTCAAGGCAGAACAGAGACTTGTTCAAAGTGTTTCTTTTTTATTTGTTTGTTTTGTTTTGCCATGTCAGAACCTCAGACCCAAGGGCAACAGATGAAATAAGGTGACCATTTGGGAGCTCGACTGCTTCTCATAAAAAAATTCAGAAACATTTGTAAAGAAGCATAAAAGAAATCCATTTCTGCCAAGGGTTAGCATTGGGAAAAAACCACCCCACCCCCCAGAACAACGGATGAAGATGTGAAAATGCATAGAGAGAAGCAGCTTCAGAAGAAGAGGAGCATCTGTAGGAGAAAGGCTGGAAAACCTGAAGGACCAAACATGTCTCCATTTTCTCTAGCTGTGAAAACACGCTGCCTACAACTCTTTTTTTTTTGCAGTGCACACATATTTGGTGAGATTCAGGTGTCACGTCTCAAATTACGGGGGGGCTCTGATTGCCCCCAGACCCAGACCCAGGGCAAAACCCCTGCACTTGTGCCCTGATGGGTTTGCCTCCCACCAAAGGTAGGTAGGCAGCCCCTCTGCTCAGGACGTTTGCTTTCTAGACTTCTTCTTTTCCTTCTTCTTTCTTTTTTTCTTTTCTTTTTTTTTCTTTTTTTTTTTTTTTCTTAACTGGGCTCACTGCAAATGCGAAGTTCCCGGGCTGGGGCTGCCTTCACACGCTTAACCCTTTGCCTGCCTCCAGAGGGACGTTCCCCAGCCACGGGAAAGTTCTTCTATTCCTAGCACTGTTTGTCTACTTCAGGAGATTAAAAGCTGAGTCACATTTTAGGCATTTCTCAGATCTGACTGCACCACCGGGCCTGGGTGGGGGATGCACAGAATTAAGTTCTAGTTCCCTCCTCTTAGCTGAAAAAGGTCCAAATAGGATGGAAACAGCATTTAGGCACAGGGTGAAGACAAAACCCACTGATCCTAGAGTTATTCAAGGTTTGAGTGGTTTTTGGATTGGTAGAACAGCAAGTTTTAAGTAGAGAATTCTTAGGGGGCAATGAGTCTTTCCTTCTCTGCACTTGAAGGCAACAAGCGATTCAGGCAGAATTTATGAGATGGATACAAACTGTGAAGTCCCCAAAAGAGTATAATTTTATGGCTGGAAAAAAACAGGTAAAGGGCAATAACAATGAACACCATCCATATTTCAATCCATGGTAGAAAATATTTCAACAAAACAACTCTCTAGGTAGGCTGAAATGTCTTAAAGAAGATGGTACAATGCTTTGGCAGCATGAGAGGGCTAATCATCTTTACACAGGGAGGGGAAAGAGGAAAAATTCTTTAGTTAAATAGCAAAAGAAAAAAAAAACTTCATGAGCTAGTGTTCTTTAAGGAAACAATCTGGCCACCCTTAAGATTTGAAGTGTTGTATTGCATCTTATATGATCCACGTTCTTTTGGTTAGGGCTTGCTCAATTATGTTTGAATCAAACAGAAGATGACTTAAGCATGTAAATTTAGAGGGAGACTTTGAGGCACGCAGCTAAATTTATCAGCCCATCTCTGTGAGCGATCACTCTAAATAAAAAGTTCGAAAAACCAGTCACTGCTGGTTGCTGATGAACTTTCCATGTTTTTGGCACTCGCCACCCTCTACTTAATGGACTAATCTGCAAGTCAAAACAGGAGGAACGGACACAAATCCATCCTAAGGTCTGTCCTTACAGTGGATATTTCTTGCAACACTTATTTTGGTGTCATGGTGGGTGACTCCATTGACAGAAATGCTGAGCAATGAGATAAATTTGTCTAAGATTCATGAACCAAAGAAAGAAAGAAAAAAAAAAAGTAAAAAGAAGAGCCAGAGCAAGTGAGTTTATGGCATTCTAGTTCTGTGTCTCGGTTTCACCTGTTTTACATGTCCTGTAATGACTTCTGATTAGGGGTAAGATTAGCAACACATGCTGGCAGTTTGAGCAAAACGTGTGCATGTGGGAGACAGAGGGAGGGTGGGGGAGAGGGGGGCGGGGGGAGTGAATGGACCATTAGAGTGCAAACACAGAGACATTCCTGCAATAAAATGCTCGTCTTCTGAGAGTCGCAGCCTGGAGGAGATGGTTATGATTTAACAAAAGAATTCTCTAAAATGTTCCCTGGTGCTAATACTGTTCTTAATAAGGAGAAGAGATTTTGCCAGGAAGGGGAGTAAGACCAGCAATTGGATTTAAAAACCAAAAGAAAAAAGAAGAAAACAGGTACAAGTTGGGTTTTGTTTTTTTGGTGGTTTTTTTTAGGGCATGAAGGGGGGGAAATGACATTTAAGAAGGTTTTGTCATTTTCCAAAAAATGCCTCATTCCCTGAACTTCCCCAGCCAGGCAAGGGTATTATAAATGGTAGGTAGAGAAAGCGGAGTGTGGCAATAAAGGGGTTAATCCACGGAGCACAGAGCCATCTGGCTGAGCTGGTTTGTTATAATCGAGCAGATTATGTTCACGGGACTCAGAGTTTAAGGCTCCTCTCCCATAGAGCAACTCCGCACAAGCCGAGCAGACCCAACTTTGGGACTTTGAATGAACGTATTTACATCCACCTTTCTCTTCATGTCGACTTTTCTGGAAACATTCACACGGATGCCATGGTTACTCCTACCACGGTAAGGGAAAATTTGACGTTTTCTAACGGGGTCCTAAGAGGGCGGGGAGGGGAGGGTGGGGTGGGGGGGAGAGAGGTCCTTTAAAGAAGTATAATGGGGAGGAGGTGGTGGGGGTCTTGTAAGCGGCAGATCTATCCCAAATGTCGCCTTTCCCATTGTGCCTCCTCCTTCCCCCACCCCAACTTGCCCTACAGTTCGCTTTAGTCCCGAGGTTCCCCTCTCCTGCTGCTCCTCCTTGCTCGGGTGCCTGGCAAGAAAACAGCAGAGGAGAAACAAGAGGTGCTAAAGGAGTCCGATTTAGGAGGCAAAAGCGAAGGAGCCTCTTCTTTTTATTTTTTTATTTTTTTTTTTTTTAAGAGGGAAATGAGCAAGTTCAGATGTAACAAAAGAGGGGTTGAAAGTCTTGACCGTGGATTTGTCAGAACCAGCCTCAGCGTACGCAGCGCGCTTCGCCCTCCGGCAAAGTTAGAGCCCCATGACAAGCAGAGTCCAAATTCCCAATTTCTAGACCTTGCAGCCAGCTTCACTGGAGCTTTCTTTTTTGTGTGTGTGCGTGCCAGACGCTGGAAACCCTGCTCATGACCTCTGAATCAATCCCCCTTCTCCCCCAAACCCAAACGTGAAATTCTCTGCGAAGGAACCGGAGATCAAAAGGGTCCCTGCACATCTGGCTCTAGGTGGAAAAGAAACACTCACTCTGGGCTGGGATGGCAGGGAAGCTGTTCCTAAGCTGCAGGTTCCAGCGCCTGGCAAGTTCCTTCTAGGAATGCAGAGCACAACTAATCAACATAGATGCACATTCAGAGAGCAAAATAGAAAGCTGTTTCTCATCTAAACAGCTGAAATGCAGCTTAGAGCGTCGGTTACTGGCGAGTCCTTATGGAGACACCAAACTGCTCGTAGCCAAGAGGGGAAAAAGTCCTTGAATGGTTCAGATAGTTTTCTGATCGGTTCTTAATCCTTCATTAAAATAAACGGGAAAGCTCTGTGCTGGTCCGATCTCCTGAACTATTAATATGCAGTATCTGGAGAGATGGATATTTTGGGTTGAATAGGGCTGCTATGTGCACATTCTCTGGTTCCTATATTGCAAAACCAGTTATTTAGAGATGACTCTGTGTGTGTGTGAGGAGGAAGGGAGGGGGGTTGCTTCTCCCCCCTTTTTAAATAGACAGGGATGTGTGTTATATGGTCCAGACAATTGTTATGAGCTACAACCTTTCAGAAAGCACTCTTTGCTCTCAGGCTCGTGTGATTTGTTGCATGAGGAGTGCAAATGGTATGTGAAGTTTTGTCTTTACGTTGTGCCTTCAGGAAAATATCCAGACAAATAGGAGAGACGTTGTGAGGCACAGAAATACCTGATCTGTGCAAGCCTGCAAGTGGAGGAGCGGTGGAAGGAACACCTAAAGATGGGATATAAGAAAAAGGGAAATCTAATAATAATCTAAAAAAAGAAAAAAAACCCCAGCAGGCAAAAATAAAGACTTGCTTTGTGTCAAGGCAGACAAAAGCAGCAGAGAATGGAAGGGAGTTCAGCGTGGTTCCAGCTGCTAGTAGTAAAAAGACTGGTCTGAGACACACGTGCCAGTACCAGGAGCTCTGTGTGTGAGCATGGTGGGGGGAGGAAAACTAGGCATGATTGCAGGTGGTGGACCCAAAAACACAGGGAGAAGAGGATGGAGCAGCAGAGCCAGGAGGGGAGTGCTTTGGGGAGAAGGGGTGCTGTATGTTGAGGCATGCAAGACACGTAGGTTTAGGAGGTTTTGTTTGGTTTGTTCTGTTGTGGGTTGTTTGTCTTTTTCTTTTTTTTTTTTCCCTTGTTCTCAGGGAAAGGAAAATGAAATTGTATATATAAAGATGTATAAAGGGAGCCTGAAGGGAAAGTGTTATACACCAGGAGTGAATTGCTGTGTATTATTGTGAATTGGGGTGATAAGGGCAGGTGAGCTGTGCAAAGGTGGTCAGCTTAAAAGGGAAACTGCTGCAAGTCAACTGGAAAAAGAGGATCTCTGTGGGTGGAAAAAAGTTTAGAAGCTCGGAAGGGGAAGTAACACTCGAGAGAGATGGCAAGAGGTACAGACTGGAGGCTGGGTGAGGATATGAAAGGGACAAACAAGGGTACCC